CGATGCCTGCAGTCGTCTCCAGGAGCAGAGAGACGAGTCCGACTGTAACTGTTAAATGTATTTTTACCTCTCCTGTCCCTGTGGATCACACGAGGTGTTTGAAGGACGGCTGTGACGCCACGTTCGACTCCCACGTCGCCCGGAAAGCCCACGAGAAGAAGCATGCAGGTGTGTGGATCTCAGCAGGGCTTCCTTTCATCCTCCATCCTGCTGAAATTACTACATTTAAAAAGAGAGTCGTGACTCCATTTGCGTGTAACCTTTTCTTGCATCTGAGACTTCAGGACAAATGCAACTTACTGTATGTGGTTCCTGAAGATGCTGCTGATGTTCAGCTCCTGATGCTGTGGTTTGCTCTGTGCAGGTTACCGCTGCCCTCATGCAGACTGTCCGGTGCTGGAGCACACCTGGAGCAGACTTCAGAAGCACATGGCCAAACACCCAGGTAGGTTAAAAAAGAACAAACTAATCCATCCCAGAGGTTTCCTGTTGGGAACCTTGTCGCTGTAATAATCAAGAAGAGGGAAAAAAATAGTTTAGACTTTCCCTGCTTTGTTAAATTCTATAATATCTAGTAAACTAACATGTTAAGTGTGTAAAAACTGTCCACATCCAAAAATATCTGTTTTTATAAATACTAAATTAATTCAAGAACAATATTTGACTGTAAAATTCCAATTTTCCTGCATTTTTAATTGGCTAAATAATTTTACACACCTGAAAGTGAACTTGCAAATGAAAGTTCAGAAATGTTTTTTTTTTTTTTTTAATTAACTGTTTATTTTTTATTTGTTCCTTTCATGAAGGTAGACACCATAATTTGTACATAAATGCACTCTACATTTTCAAATAAACACTTCCATGATTGGAAAGGAGCAGCAAGAAGAAAAAAATTTTTTGTATTTGCCTGTTTTGTTGAGTCGTAAAAACCAGGGGGAAAAGCATTAATTTACATGTTAGTAAAACCCAAACTGTAAATGTCCACGCCAAAAATGTTTACTTTCACAAATGGTAGGTGAAAATGAAATGCATTTAAATCAGCAAAAAAATTATTTTAGAGACTTTTACGTGTATTGAAATATGACTTCTGACTGAATTTTTTTTCTGTGATGTTAAATAACATAGAATCGAGTAAAACAACAGAAAAAAAAAGTTAATTTATATGTCGACAAAAAGCAAAACAGGCATCCAAACTGTAAACGTCCACGCCTTAAAATCTGTTTTATTTTTCAAACCGTTTCAGTTTCCTATCCGTGCCGAGTGTGCAAGAAGGAGTTTAAGAAGGTGGACTCTCTGCGGCGACACAAACGGACCCACGCCTCCCACAAGCCGGTGCTGGTCTGCCCCAGAGACGACTGCCAGGCCTACTTCTCCACCACCTTCAACCTGCAGCACCACATTCGCAAAGTTCACCTGGAGCTGCTCAAGCACAAGTGTCCCTTCCCCGACTGCCCCCGCATGTTCGCCATGAGGGTATGTGCTCAGAAACAAAAGCACCAGAACTAGTACGTCTGTATTTGTTTTGCTTTGCTGTGTAAAGTCTGAACGCGCTTCATCCCACAGGAGAGTCTGAGCAGACACCTGCTGCGTCACGACCCCAGCGCCGCCAGTCTGAAGGTAAAAACACAGCTGAGAGACGGACATGTGCTCAGGTTGGATTTATATAAAAACACAGATTGGCTTTTGTTAAAATAATGTAGTGAAACCGCAGGGAAAAAAAATCTGAATTTAGCTGTTGCACAAAACTGTAAATCATGTAGACTTTAGATTTGTGGAACTGTAAAAATGGTGATTGTTTTACATTTGACTGTAAAATTGCACTTAAAAAAATAAAATACGAGTTCCCTGTTAAATTACAGATAAAATCTAGTAAATTCACAGGAAAGTTTAATTTGCATGTTGACTGTATGAAAGACTGTAAATAAGGTTATTACCAAAAAATCTATTTTTAGATATTTAAGTATATTTTAGCATAAAATGACCTTTTGTTGTATTTAAATCTTTAAAAAATATTATACAAATATTGAAAAATGTAAAATGTACTGTTAGAAGAGTAATAAAAATGTATATATTTTACAAATTTTAATGAATCTTAAAGTAAATGTAAAAAAAGGCCGAAAAATGTAGTAAAATCACAGAAATATTCATGTTGACTGTATAAAAGACTGCAAATAAGGTCCATATACAAAAAATCAGTTTTACTATATTATATTTTAGCATAAAATGACCTTTAATTGTATTTAAATCTTTAAAAATATTATACACAAATATTGAAAATGTACCGTTAAAAGATACATTTTAAAAATATATTTTACAGATTTTAACTACACTTTAAAAAAAAAAGGCCAAAAAATGTAGTAAAATCACAGAAATATTCATGTTGACTGAAAAGACTGAAAATCTGTATTTTCACAGTTAGTTAATGTACTCAATATGTGACTGAAATTATGTGGTTTTGCTCCATTTAAAGTATTTCACAGATGTTTGGTCTTCAGTTATTTTCACTGTTTAGTTTCTGAACGTTAGTTTTCCACTATTTTATTAAACTATTTCTGTCTGGCTGATTGTCACAATTTTTCAAAACGTATTTCTTAAATCATCTGTTTCTGAATGCGTGAGGAGAAAACTGATTTTTTTTTTTTAGTCATTTAACATCAAATCTAAAACAGGTCTGACTTGTCCTTTAACAGAGACGTCAGCGGCCGAAGAAGTTGTGGCAGCGGCGCCTGAACGGACACCAGCTGCCCCTGGTGGAGGAAAACCTGAACCGGCTCTTCGCTTTACGCATGAGGCTCTCCAGACGGACCAAAGTGGAAACCAACCTGTCGGGCCTCTTCAACGAACGCAAGATCCCCCACTACGTCGACCCCGAGGTGAACCTGCGCGGCCTGTTCGGCATCAAGCAGCAGCGTCCAGTAGAGACGGCTGAACCAGTGAAGGTGAACTAAACCCATCCGGACTGTTTTTCTTTGATAGTTAAGGGAAAAGAAAATTGGGTCTTTTTGTTTTTTTTTTCTAATGTAGCTGACATACATTAAATCATCAGAATGTGACTGCACACATTGATTTCTAAAGACTACAGGTCTTAACTGAAGCGTTTGTTTTGTAACGTGACATTGTTGACCCAATAAAATGAGTTGAGTTTTGCTCCAAGTGCTGCTTTTTTTTTTCCCCCTTCGAGTGTCGTTTGGATTCAACGTCTCCAACATTCGTTTGTTCGCTCTCGTTTAATTGCAGCTCAAAGAGCATCTCATTGTTGGCAAACAGCTGCTTCTCCTCCTGCATCTTTTTTTTTTTCCCCTTTTGTGCTCTCCGGCTGCAAATATTGGTTGACATTTGCCGAAACATGCTGGAGCTCATTAAATATGAACAAAGCGCCGCACATGAGTAAGAGCTGAGTCACTGACGAGACTCCCAACACAAAGCAGATGAGTCTCAGCTGTCAGAGCTGCGGCGGAGGTCAAGCCTGTTGGATTCTGGCATCTCGTACGGAGAAGAGAATTGATGGAGCAAACCTTTTATTTCTCTCCATCATGTGTCCATAGCTGGGATTTAGGGGTTTATTCTGACTTCTAATCTAACTGGAGGCCACCTGACAGGACGAAGAGCTCCAGCTTCTACACAAGTTAATACGAACCAAGGCCAAGCTGACATGACGGGAGTTTTCACATCAGGAAGATCTACAGATATTCTCCCTTCTGCTCTTAAACACACACACACCGGTAGACTGGAAAACAATCGTGCATCACAGGGCAGGATGTGAAGACTAGTGCAGCAGAGGGAGCAGAGCACCTCAAGGGGAAGCTGATGGAAACCAAACGGAAACTGGTGCAACCGGCTGCAATACGTCTGCACAAGGAAATATCACCTATAATATGTGTAGCTAATAGCATCAGCCATCCCTCATTTGCTTTAAAAACCTCAATAAGGATGTTTATAATTACGAAATAATTCCAAATTAAATGACAAATCTACTCCAAACTAAGGTTTATGGCTACAAAAGTGGGTTAAAAAGGGGGGAAAAAGCTTTTTATTGGTCTGAAATCATCCAAAATGGGACTTTAATGTTTTAAAACAGTTTAAAATTTTGCCATCAATATCTGTAAGCTACCTTTTTACCTGATTAAAATACAGTAAAACTAATTTTAGTCACATTGTACAGTCAACATGTAAATTAATGCTTTTTTTTCCATTTCTAGATGTGTATTAAATGAAAGAAAAATGTAGAAAATCTGTAAAATTGTAACTTTACATGATAAATTTTAGTTAAAACTGTTTTTTAAAAAAAAAAAAAAGTGTTAGCAGATTAATACAAAGTTCACTGTAAGAGCAGTAACTTAATCCGAAAACCTTGCTATCTGAAAGGTTTTTAGGAAAAATGAACAGAACCCATAAAAAACAGCCTTAACATACCAACAGCCTCCAACATGACATTTTATGTCACAAATCAGGATAACAGCGTATTATCTGACTGAACAATCCACAGATTGGCTACGTTCAGACTGCAGGACTTAATGCTACATTCAGATTTTTTTGTGAATTCGTTCACATTTCCACTTAAATATGACTTGTATGTGATCTGCTGTGTGAACTTCATACGACCCAAAAGTGTCCTGCATGCGCAGAAGAGGACACAACGACGTCGCACGCAGCGAGCGTGCTCAGTGTTTATGGAAGTAAACATGGATGGTAGAAACAGAACTGTAACCGCTAACTAAACTGGCATCAGCAGCCAAGTACTGCCTCTGTGTTCCGGACACTTCCACCCCATCAGAGCGCTCCCCCGGGGTGGAAGTGTCCCCCGACCACACTGAATATTCTGATATTCAGCATTAATTGGGCCTGAATATCCAGAGAGCAGAAAGTGCTATTGGGACCAGCCCTACTAGTTATTATAACAACTATATACAATAAATATTAACAACTAATGAGCCTTCCAGCATCAAGCCCTCCTTGTATCTTGACCCCCGTCTTGACAATCCGACAGCCTTGCTATCCGACATACAAGAAGGTTTTACATTTAGTGTCGGATTATCGAGTCACAACTGTATTTATATATTTTTTTAAAATGAGTTATAGTTTTGCATATAGTTTCAGGAAACTGCTGTAAAATATTCTCATTTTCTGTTAAATGTGGACGTTTTATCCAGCATAACGTACAGGAGAGACAGCTAGAGTCCATCTGTCGTTCTAATGTGTCAGAAACGTTCCTGCAGAAAGTAAAACCTACATTTTCTAGTCAGCTGGTTTCACATCTGAGGAGCTCTCTCTCTGCTTCTGCAGTTCTTGTTAAACAGTTCCTTCTTATGTGTTAAAACATTCCCGTTTCTCTCGGCCCAGTGGAGCCAGACGGAGTCCGTCTGAAAGCTGCAGCGAGGCTCAGTAACAGTCTGTCAGTTTGAGTTTGAACGGCGTCGTGCAGAAGGTCAGAGCGTGCAGCCTCGGGCCTCCTCCCTGCTACACTGCCTGCTGCTCAGCCTGCACGTTAACCTGCCGACCTGCGTGTTCTGTCACCGCAAACATCTGCACCGTGCTGCAGATGTTCAGAACGAAAACCCCAGAGAGGCAGAACTGTGGTACGACCTGAGGGCAGCAGAGCTCATGCTTTTAAAGGTAAACTCAAGAATCTACCTATTTATTCATGACTCTCCCTGGAGCTAGGTTTATTGATTGGTTTCTGTGTTTGTTCATTTATTTACATGGTTTAGTCTTTTCAGTGTATCATCTATTACTTAAAAATATTAATATTTTAATATGACATAAAAAATATATTAAATATTTACACTATTATTAATACATTTTTAAAATATTTAAATAAATTTTGACTTATTTTTGCCCTTCACTTATCAGCTATATTTTAATTATGGATGTCTCATTCCATTTTTATTTATTACTAATTTTATTTATTGACCTCTGTATTTACACATTTTGATTTGATAGATTTTATTTATCGATTACTCCTTATTTGATTTTTTTTCATTATTTACATATTGTAGTTTATTCAATGTTGTTTATTACTTATTTTTTTTTATTAAATTATTTTCTTATACTGTTTTTATTAATTTTAACTTTTGCCCTTTACCTATCATTTATATATATATTTTTTAAATATTAATTAAAATGTATTTTATTCATTGATTATTTTATCTCATCTCATGTTTCCTCTTGCATGTTATTTTTCAGTGTTTCCTGGATTACTCGGTGTACTTGTGTCTTTTATTTATAACATGATGTTCAGAGTTATTTCTGTTTTATTACATTTGTTATTCCTTTCATCTGTAAAGCGCTTTGAGCTGCATTTCATTTGTATGAGAAGTTCTATTTAAATAAAGTCTAAGTGCTGCATGGCTGCCTCCTTTGTAAAATGCCATTTGTAAAGTGCAGATAAAAGCATCAGTGATATTGGTTTGGATGTGCAGCTTTCAGAGTCAACAGGAATTTAAAAGGATGCTGCTCCTGTTTCTATGGTGATGCAACACAGTAAACAAGATTTCCCTTTATCTTCGAGCTGCTCTTTGTCTCGTCGGCGGGGTTTCTATTTCCCCAACAACAGTTTGCAGGTGTTCAGCAGGTGCACAAAGTCCTCCAGTGATCACACGATCCTCGTCGAGCTGAGTAATTGTTTTCCACCAGCGTCTGTTCCCGTGAGAGCGATCCGGCCGCCCGATGTCACGCCGGATCACCGAACCGCGCACGTTTCACCAGCATCCTCATCATCACCCTCCGGCTCTCTGCAAAGGCCACGCCAATTATCCTCGGAGCGAGCCTGACCTTTGGCGGGAACTCGCCGAGGTTGATTTTAGCAGCTCGAGCATCAGCGAGCAGCACAAAAGGAAAAAAATCACAACGGTGTCATCATCAGGGTGAAGAAGTCTGTGCTGCCTGATTAGCTCCAGTTCTTCAGTTATTTATTATGACTGTTTGTCTTTAGTGTCATTAGTATGCGCTCTGTAAAGGCTACAGAGAGACGCTTTCTATGGAAGCTCTGGAAACGTCCATGAAAATTTCAGTTTTTACTCCCTGGATGTATAAATAAGTCATTATGTTTAGTCTCTACATTGGATAGAAAAACCTGTAAAAAGGCAGCAAGGGGCCAGAACATATGGAAAAGACTGAGATACAAAAACTGTAAAAGAAAAAAAAATATGGCAAGTATCTGTTAAATAATTAAACTTCTAGTCAGTTAAAAAAAAATCATTTTACACACATTGCCACACAAATTACTGAAATTACATATTTTGTACATTAGTTTTACAGTCAACGTGTAAATTAATACTTTTTCTGTGAATTTACTCAATATTATCAGAGGACAGACAGACAGAGTAAAAAATTGGTGAATTTTCACCTTTCCGGTGGTCCTTGAACTACTCGTCTGTTGCATGAAGAAGAGCTTAAAATCACCATATTTTAATAAATCATGTCTCATTTTTAAAATGTGCCAAAAACAAACCATTTGCTCGATTTAGATTCTGTAAAAGGTTAAAGATTTTGCATCCCTTTGCCGTTGTGACGTTCATACATAGAGATTATTACAGTGACGGCTTTTATGATTGTAAATGGTTTAGTTGTGGTGATACTTCAGTGCAATGCTCGACACTCTGAACTCCAAAACCCATGAAAAGGTTCGAAAGGCATGGTTGTATTTTAAAAATCACCAAAATTACGGCATTCATCAGAGCCAGAAAGTGTAAAAACTAAGAAAAAGGATGGATTATCACCTTTCCAATGGTGCTTGAACTACTCAACATTTTCCTTTTAAAAAAATGTTTTATTAGAAACTGTAAAAACTGGAAAAATAACAGCAAACCTCTTCAAATTAAGGATATTTTTGTCTTATGCAAATACAGTAAAAATAGTGTAGTTTTACAGTCCAACATTCTCAAAGTATGAATTCCAAAAAGAAAACTAAATGAGAGATTCTTCATGTGCACATTTTAAAATCCTTAATATACATGATTTCCTTTCAAATAACGACAAAAATATGTTAAATTTATTTTTTTTTTTTCCGTATTTAATTGCATTG